GACTTCCAGCCGAGAGTTGGAAAACGAGTGGAGCCGCACATCGAGAAGTGTAACACGTTTGCCTGGACCCTATCCACTCGAGACCAGTTTTGCATTGCCGGTGTCGCACTGACACTGGCAGCGGAGCTACCGAAAGGACTTCTACGAGAGCTTTGCGGCGGAGAAGAAGTCCTTGGGGACCTTTGGGCCGAGTCTCAGAGCGCGTGGCCTGCTGAACCTCTTCTACTTGGGAGCCTGCTGGGCAGTGGCAATCACTGGGCGAGCTTTGCTGAGCGTCGTCTTGTGGTGACGCAATCAGTGCTTGAGCCTGGAAGTATAACACCAATTGTGGTGAGCAATCTGTGCCTGAGTCAGTGAGTTCAATCTCCTTCCGAACAAGGTGGCGGAGAAAGACAAAGATCTGAAGTGCGCTTGGGACGGAGACATCACTTGATAGAGTGAGTACCTGGAGGAGAAGTTGGCTTGGGTGCCCCGTGCCAGATGCCGGCGCCAGAGCTGAGGAGCTGCTGGTGCGACCCCGAAGGCCCACTGGCATGTCAATGGCGACATGGTGTGCCACGGTGCGTGAGTCGTACCGCAGCCTTCAAAGAGCCTTGAAAAGGGCCCGGTATGAGTCCGAGGTCGCAACGAGTCCTGGGAGAAGTGATGGGTCGTTGGTTCCATCGCCATCGACGCTGGGCCGAGGTGGACAGTCGCCAGTGACAAATCCACCTGAGTCACCTTCGCCGACATCGTCTTCAAAGGAGACTGTGCCAGAGCCCGAGCAGATGCCGACACCTGAGAGGCCATCTGCTGCTGCAGCTGCCGCTGCAGATCTTGAAGAACATGGATTTGATGAGGAGCCCGAAGAATTCATCGAAGACCCTGACATCCTCACCATCAAGGTCTGGGAAGCGCAAGGCTACATCCGGATCTTCCAGTTCCTCGGATGATGAGGTGTTGCCGCCGGAGCTGATTGGATGGCTCATGCTCCGATGTTGCAACCTGTTGCCCCAGCAGCGCCTGAACATCCTCAGCTCGACTAGAAACTCCCTCAACGCTGATCATGTTGAACATGCCCTTTGAGGAGCTGAAGAAGAGTTGAGGGTGCAGGAAGTCAACGCTGGTGGCAAAGGAAAAGGTGGACGTGCCTTTCGCCGTCCCAACTTTTGGGTTGAACGAGGCGGTGAATGGGGCCTCATTGCAGCTGAAGAGACCGAGCTGTTGGAGGACAACTTGGACGAGGCGCATTGGGTTGCCAAGGACATCAATGCACCCTCTGAACCTCGCCGGGCCTCCGTGGAGCTTCCCAAAGTATGGCATCTGGTTGAAATTCTGCATATCCCTCCGCGTCGTCACCAGGTTCATAGTTTCCTGGGACGTGCGGATCCTCGCACATTCTTCATACATCTATGTCTACACAAACTGTGTCATGCTTGTCATATGCTTCCTACATATTCATATTTTATACTTTGTTCTGTTTCTCACTGCCTTACCTTCGACCACGCACTACCAAAAAATATATAGGTATATAGGGGGGTTAGCATATATATATATATGTATAAATAAATCAAAAATTAAACGACGTAAAATAAATAAAACTAAATAGATAAACAAACAAATAAATAAATAATAAAACACATATATACACACATGTATATATATATAACTTAAAAAATAAATCAGCAATAAACATATAAATAAATAAACAAACAAATAAAATAAATATAAATAAATGAATAAATGAATAAATAAATAAATTATATATATATATATGTATATAACAATATATATATATAAGTAATAAAACACATTTTTTAAAAATTAATACAGCACAATATATATATATATACATATATATATATATACATATATATATATACACACTTATCATAGAGCATCCCAGATCTCCTGAAACCGTGGCCAGGGGGAGCTCCCAGCACCTCTTTCCAGAATGCTGACCGATTCCTACCAAAAGAGGCCAGATTGGCTAACTGCACCTGGGTAGGAACATGATGGAACTGTCTCCAGCGGCTCGACCAGCTCTACCCTCCAGCTATTTGCCAAAGTGCAAAGGAACCAGCAGCCGCAGAACCACAAGCTCCTGAACCAGAAACTGCAGACCCGGCCCCACAGTTGGACACTGAAGAAACCCAGGTCCGGGTTGCCTGAATTGAGTGGTTGCAAACAACCAGTGAAACGTGCAATTCAGCAGGATAACATCGCAAAACCTGCTGACGTTGATGAAGAGGAGGAGGAGGAGAAAGAGGCTTGACTTGGAACATGTGTTGTGTTCTCAGCGTTTTTTTTTCCGCATCGGAATCGCAAGGTTCTCACTCTGTAAGGGGAATTCTTTTTCACTGCCGTTTCGTGAAGACGCAACCATTCAATTCTTGGCATTCACTTATTTGCGAGCCTGACATCACTTTTACATGAAAGGCCGAAACAACTCCTGCGGAAGTGAAGGCGCACCCTTTTTTTCTTGGCAAATTTTGATACGTTGTCATTGAATCAATCGCTAGCCTCCAGTTCATGTGCTTTGACTGCTTTTCATATCTGGAGGTTCTGATCCTGCCCAAGAAACATCAGGCTGGCCCACACAGGAAGTGGAATCTAGATTTTGTTGTGCGTTCGTAATAATTATATAGGATCGCTGTGTTGTTTTTCATCAGCTGTCGGTTTTGTCCTTTGCCGTTTGGGGAGTTTGCAGATGCCTCAGCCAAAGACGCTGCCGGAACCCACAGTTGGTGTGTTTCTTGCCACCTACGCATTTTTTCCCATACAGCATTGCTTCCTATCAGCTTGGTCTTGACCTCAGGTTAGGTGTCTACGAAGAACTCTGCCGAATGGGGATACAATCACCTGGTGGCATCAGGCACATTTTGTGCACCGAAAGTTGTGCCTTTGTCATGGGCAAGACATGGCAAGACATGGCAAGACATGGCAAGACATGGCAAAACTGACCAGATGTCTTTGGTTGAATAGAGATAATAGAGCAGGAATGCTGGTGCGGAAGTGCGAGACGTCGGGGACCCCTTTTGAATGTTTTTGAAGAGTGAAGTGAGTTGAAGTGCGTTATTCACAAATGACGTCAACCAACTGACATAGCGTGGCCATCATGGCACCTGCACTGGGGCTTTGATCGGATAAGGCTGTGGTGAAACTTTATCAGAATCTGGCGCCTTGGGCAGAAGTGCGACAGAAAGCATCAGAAAGCATTCGCAGATCAGAAGAGGTCCAAGTCGAATCGAGTCGAATCGAGTCGAATCAACTTAGGTCGAACGTTCACCCCCAGCACCTTTTCATCGAGATCGAATGGTAGGGTGCTCTGGATCCTGCAGTTTGATGCTGATATCCGGATTAAACTGCCAAGGTTCACTTGGCTTCGCCAAATTGCAAGCCAAGCTCTCAGTCATTGAAATGCACTTGGGTCCTTCCTTGAGGTATGTTGAGGTTTGCAACTTCAAAGCTTTGATGCAGTGTTTGTGACAGATTTGACCATTGAGAATGTCATTGAGATCATCATTGAGATCCATTAAGCATTTCTTTAGAAGTGCTGTTGACACGCCTCAAATGCGCATGGCACGCTGTGCAGGGATCCCATGTGGCGACATCTCCTTGACGGGTCCAGTGCCTTGGCTGTGCAAAGAGAAGCTCCAGAAGCTAAGCTAAGGATTTGCACAGAATTGCATGGAATTCTCTGAATCACTTCGTATCATTTACATGATTTCATTACATGATTTTACATGACGTGCCTTTGAGAATTTGAGACATTATTTGTGGCGGACAGCGAATTTGCACTTTCAGTTGAGCGTGCAATTTAGCAAGGACGAAAGACTCCCCGAATAGTGGTTGATGTCCCGTCCTGAGTTTTGAGTCTGCAGTGTGACATCGCCAGGGCATCATTGACGCATTGTAGATCCCTAAAATGTACACATTGCTGGAACCAGCTGGGGACTTACAATTCATATAAGCTGGCATAGGCTGGCATGTTCTAAATTCCATCCCATTCTAGAGAACCATTTAGTAGAAAAGACTCGAAGTTGAAGAGAACTGCGTGGAGACCATATGTCACAATGTTCCCTTTTCCATGGTGACCTTGTGAGTCAAGGACATTTGAAATTAGTGACGGAACGCAAAGGTCACAACTGGCATGGGCGGCGGGTCGAAGTCTCAAACAAAACCGACAGTCAAGATGAGTGGCTGTGCTCTGGTATTGAATATAGAGCGGATGTAGATGGTACATGATGCCCAGTTTTGCCAAGGCCAGAGCTGGATTTGTTGGAGATGCGTCTTTGGGAGGCGCATGCTTGACAGCTTTCATCAGACCCATGCTTTGAAACTTGTTCATCCATCAATAGTTCAAATGACAAACCCGACGTTTTTGGCCAGATCAATGCTTCTCTGAGCCATCTAGATGGGCCACCACCTGTTAAGGCGTGTGGTTTGCGGATTTTGTGGATCATTTTCTTGTTGTGGTAGGAACATGTGCGATTACTACAAAACAATAGAAGCGGGTTGTTTCGATTAAGGGGACTTGGCAAAACCTCTGTTCTCCTGTAGCAGCACCAATTTAGTTTACGGACCTGAGCATTCGTTGATTTTGCATGACCATCAAAAACATGTACGGAAGTTGTGTTTTCATGTATTTTCCAGTGGCCTGCCAGATTGCACTCGAAAGGTGAATCCGATTTGTTGGTGGCTCAAGCATTGCAAAGCTGTGTTCCCGAGCGGGTTCAGTGCATCGCCGCTTTCGCCACTGGGCTTTTCAGTAAAGTCAGAGCCTCAACTGAGAGAGCTGGCAAGAGCAATACAAAGCCATGCTTCTATCAGACAGCTGATACGTCATAGTCTGGATCCAACTGATTCACTTCTTTACATTTCAATTATTTCATGTGCGTGATTCAAAGAGTAGTTTCGATTTTGCCATTGGCATCAGAACCAAAAATCCATGTCAGAGTCACGCAGCATCCCTATATAGTCTGACAGCTGAGTTTTTTGAGTTCCAAGGTTGTGTCAGAATGGCGGAGCAGCAGGATTGGTGCGAGCCCCAGTCAACATCCAATTTGTGTTTTCCACACTTTGCTTGGATGAACTGGGACTAGGATGAGTTTGTGACTCAGCAGTCCTTCAACTGACACTTGCAAAAGCCTGGAGTTCAATCTAGTTTTCTTCACGTCCGTGTAAGAGTCATGCGCATCGTTTTGAGACCTTGCAGACATTACGCATGGATACCTGTGTCCCTAAGACTGAGGCTTGGAAAATTTGACAATGCCACATCTTTCCTTTACACTGCACACAATGCCAACGGCAGTACGCCTACCAGAAGGTCGCCTCGGCTTGGACTTGCAACATCTTGCAACTCTGAAATGGGGGATGAAGTGGAATGAGGCAATGCTCCAGATTTCATTTCTCTTTGACTTTTTCTTATCCGCCCTACCCGCCTTGCCTGAAGAACAGCTAGTTTCGAGTGGCAAGATGCTAGTTAGTTTCCACAAACATTGCTGGGGGGAGTATATATTGTTAACGCTGCAAAGACATGATGTCAAAAAATCGTACGAGTTCGAAGGAGTAGTGCTGTCCACTGCGCACTGGGTCCCGCAGCACGATGGAAGTCTGGATCTTCACTGCGGTTGTTAAGCGCGGTTTGGCCAGGGCCAGGCCAAATGCACTTCCAACCAGATGCTGTTCGTCCAGCTGTTCGTCCAGCTGTTCGTCCAGCTGTTCGTTCTGTTCCCACTGGACTTTCAGTTTGCTCGCTCTTGCTGCTCTTTCCCTGCGTAGAAGAAGATCCGTCAAGCGACTTGCGTACGGTCGGCATGTGCTTTCCATTTTCCGGCCCGACTAACTTCACCCGGAAACTCTGATGACGAAAGTCTCTGAAGCTGCAACTGCGCATATGCCAGGCTGGGCTACGAGAACAGTGATGGACCTCTGCCCGTAGAGAGGACATCCTGGATTCGCACTTTGGCCGTGAAGTGTTGATTTGACGTAGGATCATCATGAATCATCGCCTTGACAACCTAACGGACTGTGATGGACTCATGAAACATCATCAAACATCATCAAACTCTCAGCAGCACTTGGCTCTACCGGTTGACTCCTCTCAGCCCTCTGCGTTTGGAGCACTTTCTCAGTATCAGTACTGCTTCCACAGGACAGCGAGGCACTTGTTGACCATGTGTGATTTGTCCCGGGAAGAGGTGCCGTGGTGCCCCTTGAGCTTTGTGTTTTGCACATTTTTGCACTACAGCTTGCACTTGACTTCATTTGGCACTTCATTTGGCTCGTTTCGGCTAGAGCTGCAAGGCTTCGGCTGTGTTCAGGTCATGAATATCCTGAGAGTTGCAACAGCAATGAAGGAGTCCAGAAGGCACAGATTTCTGATGATTTCTGTGTCGCAGTGATGCTTCCTGTGGACCGCACGTCGGTGTCAAGGATTAAACGGACATGTGGCATCATGCTGCATGTCAGATGGCCTGCTTGAGGACCTTCATGGACACTGGCTTTGATCGATTTTCTGAGATCTTGAAGGGCTGCTACCTGAGACCGAGCTTAGAATCTAGTGTAACTCCTACTGTTTGATGCTTTTAAACTTTTAGCATATTTTTAGACATACTGAGTTTCCAATCTGCAGTCAATTTTACCGCATGAAAGAAATTCAGATTGTGCTGATATTATAGATTTTCACCCAGCGCATGTAACCGAGTTCGCCTATAGGTTTTGCATGGTTTTGCCAGTTTGCCTGCAAGTAAAATTGTTGAGGCTGCTCGTTACTGACCCTTTTCGAGAAGCCATCATTGCGTTTGGAGCTAAGCGTTGCTGCAACACCGGCAACACCTGATACTTTTTCAAGCTTTCCCTCACAAGGAACGCGAGTGTCCTTAGAGGTCGGCATGAATCAAATGGGAGGCCTGGAGCTTGGACTTGGCATCGTTCGACGGACACCGAAGCCTTATTGACAGAAGCGAGGCCAGGCGATCTTCTATTCTATAGCCGATTCTCCTTTGGGTGCGAAGGAAAGCATTCAGGAGATTCCAAACGCGCCTTGAAGTTCAAGCAAAGCCGAAGAGCATCAAATTGCAGAAGTGTAGCTGGACGTCCGGAACTGTCCTCTGCCAAACTGCAAGAGGACACAGGAAGAGTGCTTTCCCGCATGTGTCCGAACCTTAAAGCCAAGTGCTTGACTGGGAGTTCTAAGGGTTTGAGGGTTTGAAGCCAGTCTTTGCAGCTTTGGCTCAAGGGCCACACCGGTACCAATGTAGTTCCGCCAGGGCAGGCTGGGACCGAGATCTCGGGTCAATGCCATGCCCAGACAGCAAAACCAGCGGTCCCTTTGACGCAACAGCTTTGCCATTTTTGCCATTTCCCACTTTCAAACTCTTTCAAACTCTTTCAAGATTTCCCATGATTTCCCCACAGATTTGGTGATTGAATGGGGGATTTAGATCCAGGTTGTGTTGATGATGACCCACCCACACTTCGCTTCTGCCTGAAGCACATAGTCTTGGCAATTGCAGCTGGGTGCCTGGGTCTCCTTTGAGACTGGTTGTACAGTTCCGTCTGTTCTATCCAGCATAACGCATGATGTTGTTTTGATTTATCCTTGTCCCATTGGGTTCTGTATTCATGTTGTTCTATGTTGTTTAAGGCCCTGTACATTACATGTCAAACACATGTAGAATCATTGGTTATGTCACATTCATTTGCTACACGAATAGCTTTATGACTTTGATTTGTTCTGATTGTTGTCGCCATTATGCTTACCGTCCTTGGTGGTTGTCAGTTGCTCTGCAAGTTTAAGTTCCTTGTTGGGTCGCTTATTGCTGTTTCTGCAGCTGTTAACTTTGATTGCTGATGGTGATCTCGTCTACTGAAAGCGTCCTTGTTGTCCTTATTGTCGCTGCCGTGTTTTTTTTGTTTTTTGTGAAGGTTCTTGTGCAGCTTGTTGTGGTTGTCGTTGTCGGCATTGTTGCAATTGCTGGTATTTTGAATTGAGGCAAGGAGCAGTGGCTTTCTTCCGATATGCAGTTGGAGACTTTTGGGGGGCTCTCACCGATGCTTTGATATGCTTCATCGGATTTCTCTGCATTTATGCGTCTTGGCACTCTAGTATTTGCAAACACGGCGCGTGCCAGAGGATCCTCAAACACTGGGTGTGCCTAGACAACGTTTTTCAAGATGCAGAAGAAAGTGAGTGTTTAGTGACCAGCTGAGCTTTTCGCTAAAGTTTTGCAACGCTGAGGAGTTTGAAGCTCTTTATGTCCTTTTCTATTGCCTGTCTTGTGGCTTGGGTTGTTGCCTGAGCCTGGGCATGGCTTTGTTGATGTGGCTTCTTGGAAAATTTCGGTGTGTGACGGTGTGGATGCAACTTGAAATGAAGGACATAAAATAATAAAGAAACTACCATTGACTTCTCTACACAAATCAGTTGATGAGGCTGCAAAAGGACCTTGTGAGTTTCTTGGAAGCAGAGTAGCCGGGGGTGCTTGGACTGGTAGTTGCATGGCAAGGCAAGGATTTTCTAAGATTTCCTAAGTCGTAAGGTCAAGCATCTCTCGCGTTTATTCTTTTATGAAGACGAGTCCTAAGGCTTGTATAGATGGGTAGTCTGTGCCTGGTGTAGTGATGAACCTCATTCATTGGAAACCAGTAGAAACAGATCCAACCAGCAAAACTTGAAACTGAAAACACTACTGTAGAGCAGCTCGGCAAATTGTGGTCGACAAGATCTGAATGTCTTGACATATCTTGATCATGTCCTCCATGTCCTCCATGTCCTCCATGTCCTGGTTCAAGGGATGACCTGCTTAGATCGATTTCAAGCTCCCTCAGCATTTCGCGAAAAGAACAACGACCTTGTGGGGGCGATGTGCCCCGATCCGGTGACAACTTGACAAGCGGAGCAAACAGAACTACTGCAGTAAGGGAAAACGCAAGGAACGCGTGCCACGGACCGCACAGGATAGGAAAGTGGAGAGCAAAGTCCAGGGAAGTGACGCTTCGATGATATGCCTGCCGTACTGTCAAGATATGTCTATGGACTGTCTATGGAATGTCAAGATGTCGAGGACCGAGGTCAGCAGGCGTTGAAGTGTTGACCTGAGGATCCCAGCGGCTTGACATGATTTGTGCATCAGCTTCAGCAGCAGTAGCTGCACTTGGTGTTTGTGTCCCTTGTCCAGATGAACAAAGCTTTTTACTTTGAATTTCAAACACCGTTTGAGACCCAATCTCAATCTATGTCAGTATGTTTTGGGTTAGTCAAAATGACTCAAAAGCAAATAAACCAAACCGAAACTCATGGCTTTTGCGGGCTGGTTAGGGCTTCTTTGCAGCCACCTGTGGAGAGAGGATAGATCCGGGTTGTGTCAGGTCAGCTTACCGCTGTGGGACAACATGCAGAGAAATTGCGGAAACGACTTTATCCGGTCTGCTTTTGCGTCTCTCACTTATGGCTCACTGAAAGAAATGGATGCAGGCGATTTTGAGGGGATTTAGTGCATTCGTTTTAACATCTCATGAAAGTTTTGACATTTGATGATGCATCATTCTTTGTTCTTCTGTTCACTTCTGTTTTTCGTTTGCACCCTGTGTAGGTCCAGATCCTTTCCTGCTTCAGGACCTGGGGGGGTGGAAGATTGTAGGGCCAGGGCATCGGCCGTCAGTGAGTTGTGAATGACAGGACCTGAGCACCAACAAAAGCAAGGCACTGATAGTTTGTTTCTGTCATTTTTCATTTGTTTTCTATAAACATTATAAAATTTTAGGATGTCCTCTGTCAATTCAGGCTATCTCAAGGTTGAAACTTGAGGAAGGAGGTCGCTGGCGTAGATTCATCCAGTTCCTGGAAAACGACTAACACATTTTATTTGGAATGATAGTAGCACGCTTTCATAATTTCTTTTTTCACACCCTGGCGGCTCCCAAGGAGGACGGACAGCTCAAGAATTGACTGAGGGGCTTGTGAAAGCGCTTCACATATGTCCAAGAAACAGGACATGAGGATGGAAAAGCATTCGAACACAAGTTTCGACCGGCCCCTCCAATTCTTTTCGCCTGGACAACAGATGAAGTTGGCAGAACAAGGCTTCACAGAGAACTGCCAGCTCAGCATTCAGAATCATTCAGACATATTTAGACTATGTTTGGGTGCATCTATGTGCATCTAGGAATCTAGTTACTTGTGATATCTTGTGATTCATGTTTCTGGTAACATTTCGTGACACAAGGTTGTTTCATGTTGCTTTTTCTCACTTCGCTTCCCTATTATTCCTCAAAATATCAGACATAACCTCTGTAATTGGCATTTTATTGCTAGCCGGGCTGGCCATGTTGTTCTGTGGAAATGTTCTGTGCCTTTCCATACAGTCCGAAAAAAATCCTTGAGACACGACTTTTCCGGATTTGGCATCCTTTCCGCACCCTGCACCCACCCGGCATCCCGATTTGCTCTCGACTCACCGTGACTCACCGTGACTCACCGTGACTCACCGTGACTCACCGTGACTCACCTCCAAATGTCCTGAGATGTCCTGAGGTCAGGGCATCACAGCACGAGTCACCAGCCGCAAGGGCCTGCGGAGCCTAGCGCAGGTGCAGAGCTTGGCTTGGAGGGCATAGGGAAACGTACAAAAGCAATGTATGCATATGTTTAAACATGCCTAAACAATCCTAAGCATGTCTAAACAGTGTAGACAGTGTAGAGTAAAGGGAGTGTGCGATTTGATGATGGTAAGGCGATATGATGTCTCTTTCGCCGGAAGTTTTCAATGCGAAGAACTGTGGACGAATTCCAGACACGAAGTCCGTTCACCGTGATGTTGCTGGAAGCTGCAAACCGTTTACTGTGCAAAAACACATCTCAGCAGGTACCCATATCGAAAGAATTACAGCATGCATGGACTTCTCTTTAGAGCGCTTGCTTACTTTCACATACTTTCACATTATGTGTTCCTTTCAATCAAGCAAGAAAAATGCAGACCAGAGACTTACATACAAATCATACAAGCCTCACGCGCTTTAGCTATGGCCACGGATGTTGTGGAAGTGCTGGAAGATGCGATCGCGATGGATGAGATCCAATCAGCAGCAGAGGCCTTTGCCAGACTCTCTTAGGTAAGCAAAGTAGTCTGTACCTGAGATATACTCTGAAGATATCTGAAGATATCTGAAAAGAGCTCAGAAACCAAACAATGCATAACAATGCCAACAACGGAGGTTGCACTTGTTTGAGGATGCTGGGATGCTTCGCACTTGCATTTTCTACCAGACATGTTTTGCATCGCACATTGACAGGCCTTCATGACCTCCAAGCTGTCGCTGCTTTGAATGCATTTCTTTTAGTCCACACAATGGCACAAACCTTTTCAAATTTCAAAACACAAACCTCTCCAGCTCAACACTCAGCAATTTGCACAGCTCTTGCATAAGGCTCTTCGAAGGCATTGACATGGACACTGCGCTTGAATCGCAGGCACGTCGCAGCAAGAGCCTCTCAGAAAATCGCCGGACGATTATGACGTGAACAATGTGAACACTCGTAGCTAGGAGCAGCAGCTGGAATGGCATGCGGCCTACAGAGAATATGTTTCCCTGATGGAGGCCTCAGCAGCTCTTGACCTTTTGCTCTGCTCTTCACGGCCCTGCAGTTTCATTTGATCTACACAACGGGTCATTACATATGACAAACTTCAATCATACAGATACACGTCAATGGTTGAACTTGTGCTCAACCACCCAAAGCACAAGGGGCTCTTTCTACCACGAAAGATAGGTGCAGGACTTTTGGAACTGTCTGTATCTGTAAATGTAGGTAGGAGACAGCATGATATTACAATGAAATAATATACAACATGAGAATTACATGAGATGAGACGCTGGAAGTGATGCTTTCTGTATCGACCGCCTCGACCGCTGCCTGTTTCCAGGAACGCGTTCTTGCAGCTTGCGCTGAAGCTCCGAATGTGACAAAGGAGGTGCGCGCCATCGGCAGGTGGTTGCAAACAAATCGCACTTCGCTTGCAAACGAAGCATAGTGACTGTAGTGACTCAATCTCATGAGATCCTTCGAACACATTGACTAGGATGACCACTGATGACCAGGGCCTTTCAAGTGATCTTTTCTTGATTCTTGCGGTGTTCACCGGGTTCGGCATGGTTGGCTCAAGAGTGAAGCTTGAGTTCAATCGAGTCTACGCTCTCCGCGTGGCCTTGGTGTTTAAAAGTCCCGGGGCCTCGAACGTGGGGTAGGCCGAGATAACCATGGCCAGCACATACATCGACCCGGCTGTCAGAGCACAGCTCGCAAATGTCCATGATGTGTTTGTCATCGCACGTCACGAAAAGCATGGGTACCTTCTGCTGCTCAACAAAGGAGCCTTGGGCAAAGAATTCAAAATTCCTTCAGGGAAGTTTGAGCACCCAGGCATTGGGGGCGACAGTTACTACAAAGCAGCGAGCAATGCCGCCAGTTGCAAGATGCTCGTTCAGACTGGGCTGGTCATTGCTCCGTGTCGCTTCAATAGGATCCTGTTCCCTGCACAAGTCCAAGAAAAGCTCGGAAACAGAGTGTTCTATGAAGTTTGGATCTCTGATCAAGACTCCGTCGTCAAAGGCGGCGAAACTGCTCTTACAGGACATGGGTTGGTGGTGTCTGGTAAAAGCGATAAATGTCCCACCCATTTTGGGGATTTGAACACCGCCTCAATGAATGATGGAGATGATATCCCCCATAGTTGCCCAGGGGGATGCTTACTGTAAATTGTTGAAGTAGGACATGTATGGACATGTTACCTCCCCTATCTCCCCTGTCAGGAGAACAGAACTTTTATGTTCGCACAGACTACTATGGTTTTACGTTTCACCAAGATCTTCGCCATGCCGCCGCAGCCTTGCGGGGCACCAGCCGAACTACGGCCTCCGCGTTGCTGGCAACGCAGGCCATATACCGTGAGACCTGCTGCTTGGGGGGAGTGATCATGAAGATGGGTGAGATGGCTCGCCAGATGTGCGGCTGGCCCAAATTCCCAGAGAATCATCCATTCCACAGAGCCCAGCGTGGAGTCCAGAGATCAATATCATCATTTTCGTGAAAGTGCACTGAGAGGCAATCGTTTTAGGTTTTAGCCATGAAAATACATGAACGTACTAGCCCTGAACCGTTTGATTCCCATTGGCGGCAGGGGTGAATAGCCTGAATTCGAGAGAGCCTCCGGTTTTCAAACGGGTTTAGGTTGTTGCATTGACACAACCTAGAAATCAATGCCAGTTGTATGGTCCCCCAACTAATATAGTCTAATATAATATTCGTTTGAATCTTGCATTTGGTTTCCTGATTTCTGGTCTTGTTGAACTTAGTTCGAAACCCTGAGTCTCCAGCACCAGCGACAATGGCATACAAAGCCCTCGCGGTAGCTTCGATTCTCCCGAGACACCTGACAGCCTGACCGAACTTTGCCAAAAAAAACTGTAGGGGCTGCTGTATTCTCTTTTCTGTATGTGTGCTGAGTATCTTCACACTTGTCTCCCACTCTTGGTCGGGCTGTTGTATCTTCCGTGCCATGCTGTGGCTTGAGTAGACACGAGTCATCTGACAGGAAATCCTTGCGCAACTGACCTCACTGGTCGAGACTGGCGATGAGGACCCAGTGCCATGTTGGATGTCAGATGATTACAGTGCACTCAGTACACCTGCTTCTCGAGTGCTCTGAAGCAGAGCTGGAATTCCCACACCTGCGAGGTTGACGCAAATGCGATCACTTTACTTTGTTGAGTACAGTGGTTCTATGATGTAGCTATTATGTGCAACGTTTAATTCCTATTTCTTCATTTCATGCCAGGGTGCTGAGGATCGCAAGCATGCTCGCTTCTTGCTGCTCGGGCTGCATGGCAGATGGCAAGAAGCATCGGTGTGTTTGTTCAACGCAAGTGCTGTGCATGCTGTGCAAATCCGGGCCATTCGGTTGCGTCGGTTGCGTTTGGCCTTGAGGCTGAGCATGTTCGAGTACAGTAGCCGCTTAGTCGCAAGTATTGCCTGTGCAGATGTTTGATCACACTCTGCTCCATCAAAATTCATCAAATCTCGGTACACCTGAGGCTTTTTGAGCATGATGAAGGCGGATAGGGATAGTTATTTCCAGAAGTATGATGGATAGATTTGCACAACTGAGTGAGAGCTGTCGGAAAGATCGGGCACAAGACAAGTCGAATTTCATATGGCAGCAATGTCGAGTTTCGGGACTGCTACAGCGATGAGATCCTTTCAGGAGTTACGACGACAATCGCTAAGCTCGGGCCCAAAGGCACAGGGCAGTCCAAAGTGATTCAAATAGCACAACAGCAAGGCTCCATGGAGCCATGTTCGGATCTAAAGCCTTTGGTTTTGCCTCCAGGCACGCAATCATCAAAGGTATCATGATATAGTGCTTCTCCACAGAAGGACATTTGTAGAGGTATGCTATAAGAAGTGTGCTCAAGGATGTTTAAAGGTATGGGTAAGGTCACTGGTCACAGGTGCATGACTGTTAGAGAGCAGCTATAGGCTATAGCCTTGTTGTCAGGCCGATGCTCCAGCAGGTACTGCGGTTCGGGGTTATGGCAGCTGAGGACCAATGTGTCCAAGCTGCCAGCAGCCGAAGGGCAAACAATGGGAAGACGACACAGACAGCTGAAATCAGCTGAAGACCTTACGGAACTCTAACGCTCTCGACTCTGATTCCTTTGAATGCGAAGAGCTTGATTGCCTTGTCAAGATTTGTCAAGACTTTCTGAAGCTGTTGGACTGTGTGTCACCAAGTGTTTCGATGAATTGCCATTTTCCCCACTCTGGTCAAAGAAATTCCAAATTCCAGTGAAGGCATGCAGTGGCATGCTCGTTTGAGTACTTGTGTGAGCATTTGTGCGAGCATTGTAGACTTTGAGCTTTCACTCTCCGGCCTGAATCCTTTTGAAGAAACCACTTCAGGCCTATTCATTTGATTCACATGATTCCAAATGCGGCAGGCGTGAAGCTCTGCGAAGAATCGAAAAAGATGAGTGAAATGGGCTTTCAAGCATTTTCAAGCTTTGATGGGCTCAGGCTTAGCAAGTCAAGCAAGTGTGATATGCCTATGGCTGTCGTCATTCTATGTTTTTTTTTTTCCCAGATCTCCCACAATTCAAAGCAACTTTGCTGCTCAGGTGTCCTCAATACCGGTCATCAACGCACTTGATGACTATGCGTACTTGACTTGCAAAGGAAGTTCATAAGACAAAGCTGTGAACGGATTGACAACTAGGATTGACAAATAGATGGGTGCAATTTTCAAAAGCATCCACTCCGGCCCTTGAGGCACCCGATGCAGATGTGCGCAGATTTGCTCACCATTTTTGAGCACAAGGCATCATGGCCATCCAAAACATCGATAGACATCGTGCATTGCGTGCATTTGTTCAACTTGCAAGACACTGCTTCGACAACCTCATGCTGCAGGGTTCCATCAATGGCCTCACCATGGCATATATGGGTGACCTGGAAAACAATGTCAGCGTCACAGTCCCCCGAAGTGATTGACTCGCATCATGTCCAGCCATGTTGAAACAGCGAAACCACTGGATTCGATATGTTTCTGAGGTCACGTATGACCTGATGCGCTGACGCCTCAGAATGCTCAGACTTTCCAAGTTCTCACTTATTGCATGGCCACAGACGTGTTTCAGCATCCAGCATCGAGGCACTGCCGCATTGATGGGCTACAACCTGAACCTGGTCTGTCCCTTAGCCCCAGCTAGGCCTTTCAAATGCGTCAAAATTCTTAGGTAGATTATTAGATTAGATTATGGTAAATTATGGTAAATTCAAGTCCCGTTCCCACTTGCAAATCGCATAGATAGCACAGTTGTTGGGACCTCACATCGATACATCTGCCCCGAGGCAGGCTCTGGCGCGATTGAAAAATCCGAGCCGAGCTTAGCCATCCTTTTTGTAAATCCGATTTGCCGCTTTGTTTTTTGCGGTGCTCGTGCATGACAACCTTGACCTTTGTTGACTCTTTCGTGACAGCTTTGGATGACTTGACTTCCAGGAGACCAGACAAGTGATCAGCAAGATTTTGCGCAACCACAATCACCTTCTTGACTTTCCAGGTGTGGACAGAGGTCAACGCACTGACGGAAAAATCAGGGTCTTGAACTCAATGATTGTCAATGCATATCTTCTCAGAGAGCCCGCGGCTGAAGTGAAGAGAGCTGCTGAGTCAAGTGAGGAGTCTATCCTGACGTGTTGAGGTCGAAAGTTACAGTTTTTCCGACTGCCAAAGAGGCAGCGAACATGAACAAGCAGACCATTCTTTAGTTGCAAAATGTTGCAAATATTATCAAATATTTTTAAATTCTAAAGGACAGTCAGACAGTTCTTTCTTTCAGACGTGACATGTCGAGAGGCGATCTCTGGAGTCGATATAGTCTATTGTGACAGTTGGATGAGCTGGACACTGAGACATACTGAGACATACAGTACAAGATAGTACAAGATAGTACAAGTACGATAAGTACCGAGATATTTTCAGAGTCGAAGGTCAAATCTTGACAGTTCTTGACATCTTGTTTTGTCAAAGCTGGTTGAGAACAATACAGAGAGCGCCGAATGGTTTGAATATGTTTGAATGCATTGACGTTCTTTGCAGTTTTAGGCTATGGCATTCCAAAAGATGAGGAAGAGGCAAGAAAAAAGCTCTTTATGCCTTTCCAGGCACGGGTGACAGATTGACAAAATGATTTCACATTGGGCATCATTTGGATTCATTAGCCATAGAGTTGAGAAAAGGACATGCATCAAAAACAGGTAACCACTGAGCTGATGAAGTTGGCCAAACCTGACGCAATCTTCATGAATTGCTGGGGACTAAGAACTTGAGAGTCTGAAGGTAAGACCTAATATGTATAGATACACACTATGTATATATGTATATGATTGTATATATATATATACACAATATGTATATATATATATCATTATATATCTATACACACAATATGTATATATATATGATATATACATATGATATATATATATACAGTGCATGATATATGTATATATATATACATACACATAATATATATATATATATTTAATATACACATTAGATATAGATATATAGATACGTAATGTATATATATATATATACATGATATACATATATATAATACACATCATATATATATAATAATATAATATACACAGTGTATATATATATATTATAATATACACATTATATATAATATACACATTTTATATAATATACACATTATATATAATATACACATTATATATGATATACACAGTATATATATATAATATATACATTATATATAATATACACATTGTATATATACATACATACATATATATATATACACATACAGATACATAATATATGTATATGTATATATACATATATATATATACACATTAATATATATATATATACTGCGAAGCAGCCTCGCTTCAACAGCAGCCACCAGCAGCAACGCCTCTGCTGCTTTTCCCACCAATGGCTCAATCCGCACCGCTGCCCACCGCTGGAGGTGAACCAATAGTTGCGGCCAAGGTGCAAATGGTAAACAACCTCCCTGACATGTAAGACCATGGGAAAACAAGGACTGCCAAGATGGCAGCTGAGGTCCAACCGTCAAGCTCACCAGGACAATAAACTGTGGAAGTTTCACACACCCCTTACTTTAAAAATGGTCTTACCTGTCCAGAGGTTTGACATCTTTGCATGTCCTCTCGTGCCAGGCCAAAAATCCTTATTGTACCATCTATGCCCGTTCGAATCACAACCATGAGTTACTCTCTCCAACCCCAAGGTTCTAAGATCAACAGGACAATCCAGAATTCCTACAGGAGAAAACAACTGATATCTTGTGACATGATGTACGCGGATAACCTGGCCACTTGAGTCCTGTTCCCATGTGTCCTGCCGGACTTCTTCTGTACATTTCAAAACTGTCTCATTTTCTGGAGACTTGGACGTCACTTCTTTGGCCCATTTCAAACGCTGTCGCTTGTCAGATCTCTGTTGCAACACTCGATTTTCATCAAACAAAGAATACTGACCACTCTTCAAACACTGTCGCAAAACGCTTGCATCCATGCTCTTTGTCAAACAATCTGCAAGCTGAGCATTTGATGTAACCCATCTCACTACGCAATTGGCCTGCAATCTTTCTCTGATGAGCAAACACTCAATGGTGGTCCTATGCTCCTCACACTGTGGAACGGCCGTGCGAGTCAGAAGGTCATAGGCACTCTTACAGTCGGTCACAAGAGCAGCTTGTCGGGCTTCGTGCAACGCTTTCTCGGGGGACTGCCATTCAATCGAGGGGTTATTCAACCACTGCCACAAAATCCTCAACCACAACAAACGATCAACATCCCACTCAATGCCACTGCTTCAGCCCCAAGGTGCTCCTAGTTACCCGTTGAATTTTCTTGCTCATCCAAGCTACTGGTGCTACCACTGATCTCTTGTTCTCCAGCAACTCTGGAGTCGTGACAAAAATCAAACCTCCCTGATGGGCATATTTCTCTTTTCCTGAAAGGAACGAGGCATCGGAGAAGGCACAGAAAGTCACTTGTTCAGGGGCAATCGGCAATGTCATTAAAGTCACAGGGTGAACCTTTGCCTCAGGCAACACTCGATTTGCAAAAATCATGTCATCGACTGTTGCTTTTGCCACCCTACTTTGGATCTCTCCAACTTTGGCCGCAATGTCGGGACGGGTATGGACTGCTGCATATTGCAGAGCTCCAACAAGACTTCGCAACTGCGTCACTTCACTCGGGCTCAGCGCAGCTTCAGCATTGGTACGTCTCTGTTTTGGGATTTCAATTGGCCTAATCTTCTCTATATAGTCAATCTGATCATACTCCACACTGCCATCATCCCACTGCTGAAACCTTATGCCCGTGAAGACAAAGGACCCTTTTTCAAATGATCCAAAACTGAAACGCTTTCTGACTCTTTCCAAGGCTGCCATAAACATGTTGTCCCCACCCCCAATGCCATCATCGACATGAACCCCTAGGGAACCATGAACTCTTTCTTTCCCCTTTTCATCAACAGAAACAAGAGTAAAAACACAAGGATCAAAAGGACACTGTTTAAAACCTTCTTGCAACAACGAGTCACGAAACTTACAATACCACAAATAAGGAGCATCAACACGACCATACGCACTACCTACCAATTGACACTGATCACCAGGTTCCAACCCAAGGGCTTCTGTTAACTCTGGGGTGGGATACAAACCAAGCAAGCGGCCGTCTCCTTCGCCTTGAAGAAAGGCAGTTGAGACATCGAAGGAAACTAGTTCCCAACCATGACTACTCACCTGTTGCACCACCATCTGTCTTCAGTCTGTCTTCCATCTTTGGTGAGTGTGGGTGAATCATTTTGAACCACCCCAACTCCAGGATCCTCGTATCCAACAACAATCAACCGGGCCTTTGCCTTACGACCCTCACTCACATCCTTGGGGTGATCCTCAGGTGAGGCTGATTTCCAGGTGAGCAGCCATCGGCAGCGCATGATTGCTTCCTCAGGAATTTTTCCTTTGGATGCTTTTCTCACAGTTCCATATTTGAGCCAGGCGCCTATTTCTTTGTGCTTGGCCACCGCCATGCGCTGTTGGTCAGCACTGCTTAAATCACTCAAACGGACTTCAACTCGTTTCTTCTTTGCTCCAGTCACCAACAACACACTTTCATCTGCTGATCCAGCGCAAAACAGTGCATGCTCTTCATGGTTTTCAACAGGAATTTCAATCTCCCAGAACTGGCAACACCTATCATCTGCAGACATGGTGATGTCATCTCCAAACAGAAGGTCATCCGTTGGTTCACGATTGACGCCCTCCTGTGAGGCATCACCATCGGACTCACTGACACTTTCTGGAACCGGCACACGCACGTAATCAGGGAGTTCATTCTCTGACTGTTCCACTCCTTGAGGCGGTTCAGACTGATTGCTCAACTCCCCATTAGGTGTCCCAGGTGGCTGAACTGACAACTCTCCTTCGGGCTCCCCAATTGATGGGTCATATCCCTCTGTTTCAGCTTCCCAGTCAGGAAAATCCTCCCCATCTACATCAATGAAACTGCCATCATTGAGGGCTCTCTGTAAATCTGAGTTCCCTGGGCCAGACTCTGCATGGGTCATTAAATGTCCCCATTGAACATCACCCAACCATTAGGTATATGGTCTATAATGGCTACTATAAGGTGATGTCCAATATACCCAAAATGGGACATTTACCAATCCCTGCTCTGTGAGCAACTCTTTGGCCTGCTTCCACTCCCGAAAACTGGCTGCACGAAGTTGCTCAGGGCTCGTGCGCACTAGCTTTCCAGCATGATTCAACCAAACATTCTTGGACCCTTCGACTGCAACAACACTCGCTGGCCCATACCAGCGACCACGATCTCTACGTAGATTGGCACCCCTCCTACGCCAATACAACACAAGATCTCCTATTTCAAAAGGTCCTCGCATTGGCCGAGTCCGCCTCAAAAGCGCACGACGAAGACTGGATGAATTATCAGCTTCTATGAAAGCTCTGCGTGCACTGCCGCGTCTTTCCAGACTGGCTCGAAAGGCTTCGCTCTCGGGACCAGTCCCTTCAGCCAGAGTTATACTTCCTACCCCCTGACTAGAGACAACGGACCCAGGCAATCTTTTGGCAATTCCAAGGGCAGCTTGTTCGGGAGAGTATCCCTTCACTCTGGATAAACTGTTCTTGGCATTGAACACATGAACCAAAGCCTGCTCAAACTCCCCAACCGAGTTTATTGGTGACTCCAAATCCATGCGACTCAACATCTTCATCCGTGAATTTCCACTCTCCCCAGTTGCCAGTGTGCTTCACTTGCACTGACTTTGACATGGATGTCATGCCTTTGCATTCTGTCCTGCCATGCTTCTGCCGTATATTCCGTGCCAGGGTCAACATACACAACTTGTGGAGTGCCAGCCCATAACATCCAACATTTCTCAAAGACTCGAATTTGAGAATCTGTGTCCGCACTGACAACATGAGAACCAACATGAAACAAAGTCCCTTCATCAATGATATGAGAAAACTGAAAGTTCTTACCAACACTATTAGTCCAAACAGCAGTGTCCATACCAATCACTTGATTGAATCCCAGATTCTCATGAATTGTGCCAGGACGGGTGGAGTCTGGACCAGCTTTTGTTTCCGCACAACTGTCGCACTGATAATCCAGAGCTCCTTGAACCAAATGAGGTTCCGCATGCCTTTCCTTCAAAAACCAGGCAAACTTCTGTGGATGTGGATGGCCTAAGTTGTGATGCAACCTCCGAATCTGAGCCTTTTCATCACCATTCAACAACATGTACCCTGGTCCATGAACCGGAACATTCTTGGGAGGGTCTTTACTTACCACAACAACATCTTCACCATCATCCCCAGTACCTGCTTCCTTATCAGACCCCATTGTCTCAAGCTCCCCTGACTTTGGAAAACTTCCAAAAATGGTGAGGCTCATCTTTGCAGATTGACCCTTTCGAATTTGCTGCCTTTTTGGCAGAGCCGCCCATTCCTCAGCTGGGCCAAGTACCATTGACTGACCCGTGATGCGGTCTTTGACCACGGTCATCCTCAACGGGATGGTTTCTGGGTCCGCATCAGCTCCAGGAAGGCGCAACCTCTCAGTTCCCCTACAGGCTTCAACCCTCTGAACCTTCAAGTTTGGGGCCCCCTTCTGAATCTGAGCTAAAACCCCATCATCATCCAAAACACGTTTGCCTACCCGTGGAACCATGGTTTCAATTTTCTTAAAAATGCCATCCCAATATTCACTGGCTGCACATCCGTGGTCACCTGCTGGTGTCTGTTTGCAGTGATACCTTGGACGCTTCACTTCTGCTGAAACCGGCTCTTCTAAGCTCTCTGGAACTGCTGCAGCGGACACTCTTTTTCTTTTGACAACTCCGGCAACAAAAGCTTCATCAACATCACAAACATGCAACTCATCCAAAACCAGTGGCTTCTCATCAAACCTACAGGAAACATACCTTGCCACATTCCTACCAAAACCGGAGGTGTACCTTGCAGCATATTCCGAGAGAGAAATCCACCGACCCAAATGATAGATCTTGCCAGCAATTGGAGCATGCTTATGATGCCCAGGACACAATCGGTGGTCAAATGCATCATGGAAAATCTTTGAGGAAGTGTAGACATGCGTCCTTTTCCTAAGGAAATTGTTTCCAGACACTCGTCGCATCACATGTGGGGCAAGTAGTTTTCCAACTTCACACATATCAAAAACAGTACACAGGGTCCCACAGTAAATATCATAGACTTCCGGTTGATAAATCAACTCCGACCCTTGGGGTTGTTCCAAATGAAATTGACCACCACAATCCATCTGATACCAATACACATCATTACAAAGCTTCAAATGAACACGTTGCTTCTTGCGACCCTCTGAAATCATTTGTTCTGTGCTTTTGCTCCTGCCCATGTTTCTGCGACTGAAGTTGCCCCAATATTTGCATTCTGGTGCCATCCAGACTTCTCTCGGTCGCTCTTCCTCCAAAACTTTCCAAAGCGCAGCTTGACCTTCTGGTGTAGAAAGATCTCCATCACTGAAAGTGAATCTTCTGGCCTTCAATCCCAGCTTACAAGCTTGTTCTGTGATTTGAGAATGTTCTTCACAATAGATCTCCAGAAGATCACTTCCAAACTTCTGGAAAGTCTGAGAGTCGGTCAGCGTCGGCCATATCTTTTGAAGACAGGTCAGCTCTGCTTCAATTGTTCCCATTGCTAGTTCAATCTTTTTGAGCAATTGGTTGGTCAATTGCTGATCTGTCTCAAGTTGCTCTACGCTAGACCTCTCATTCAGACTCCCTCCAAGTCGGCCTTGATCTTGTCCATCTCGCGCTGCAAGATCGCCATGCGAGTGATCATCTCCTCTTTCTGCTGCACCTCGATCGCCATCTGCGACTGCTCTTCTTCCATGGGGCGCTTCTGACTTGGTGATGACATCGTGCTCATCGGACGCGATGTCACCCCTCCTGTCAACAGCTCCCACTCTGGTCCTTGACTCTTCTCGATCTCTGCCTTCGGATACATCTTGGACATCTCGGCTTTGGCCCACTGTCTGGCATACTCCTGGTAGAAGGCCTTCGAGCAATCTTCCTGCATCCTGTCCATGGCTTCCACGTAAGCCTGAAAACTCAGTGTCCAAGCTGACACCAGTTTCCTGTGCTCCTTCATGAACTTGCCGTACTTTGGGTCCTCCTGGTATGCCTGAAAGAAGGACTTGTGCCGCCACTTCCCTTCCGGGAACTTCAACTGACCCCACTCCTTCAAGGTCATCACACCTGGAGGGCGACGACTTTTGATCTCTGGTAGTTGTCGATCTTCGAAGGCCAGAGAGGCATCCACTTCTCCGGACAGCATCGCGTCTAGCATCTCTGTCTGGAGTCCCGGAAATGGCGTTCCCGAGGCACTTGGAAGAGTCATGGCTGTCAGCTTGAGAAAGAGCGGACTGACTTTGAAGCCGATCTGGTTCTCGGTCAACTTGAGGTTGAGCCACAGCAGCTGTAGCAGTCGTCGAAGATGTACTTGACATTGTGTTTGGCTGCCGCTGCTGCTTGTGTGTGCAGTAAACCTCCCTACTTCGATTTTCAATTCTACTACTTGCCAAAGTGATGACTTCCTCAAACTTTTCTGAATTACTTCTCATGCTAGCCGCATCAATCAAGTCTGACAACTTGACAATAAACAGCCCCTTGGCATTTCTGGTGAGTGTCACGGATTTTCCCCAAGAAGACACTTCCAAACAGGATTTACTCACCAGAACATCTGCGCCAAGTGCATGAAGAAAGGCATTTGAAATGAGGAAAGGCGTGGTTCCTTGAACCACTTCAATTTTCATCCATTGTTTCCCAAACTGTACAAACAGCGCACCAACACTCTTCAAAACACCATTGTTACCAAATCTAAAAACGGTTTCAGATTCCTTCCACTTAACCATCTCACGGTGTTCTGCCTTCAAAGTAGTCAAAAGTGCACTCACTCGCTTTTCGCCGATCACGGACTTGCTTGCACCGGTATCTATG